GAGAATAGATGAGAATTGGTTTAATAAGAAATATGTAAGAAATAAAATAGAATAAAGTAAAATTTGTAATTGTTTGGTAAAATAGAATTATGTGATAAATAGAGTTAAAATATTTTTTAAATTAATTTATATTAAATAAAATAAAATACTAAATTAATAAATTTTAAAATATTTAATATTTTATTATTATTATTTTGTTTATCTATTATTATTATATTTACATTGTTTAGCTTTATATTTAAATTATTTATTTTAAATTGATAAAAATCATATAAATATATTAGGTAGTTATAGATTAATGTTATATATATAATAAATAAAAATTATATTCATTATTTATTATTATTATTATACATAAAAATAATAATAAAAAGTTCCAAATACAACTAAAAATAATAAATTAAAATTTTTAACAAAAAATAAAAATAAAATATGAAAAACATCGAGAAAAAGTATAAAATTTAAAAGGCTTATGCTTTTAGTCCCTCAAATTTAAGACAAATTTGTTTTTGGTCCCTCAAATTTAAAATTGTTGTTTTTAGTCTCTATAATTTTCAAAAATTTTATTTTAGTCATTTAGGTCACCAATAACATATTTGAAAGTGACTAATTAAGACGGTTATGCAATATCAACCTGATTAAATGTGATATTTTCACTAATAAAAACATCAATAGGTAGATTTTATGCAATAATATTTGATAAATTTCTTAACAAAATTTGAATATAAGGACTAAAATAAGATTTTTTGAAATTACAGGGACTAAAAACAACAATTAAATTTGAGAGATAAAAAAAAATTTACTTTAAATTTGAAAGACTAAAAACATATTTAAGTCAATTTAAAACTATGAAAGAAAAAGAAATGAAAAAAAGGCATAAACCATATCAACAGTCGTTGCTGCGTAGTTGAAAAAATGCAAATACATAAATATTTTGTGCAATTTCCATGCACTTTCCCTGACATAAAAGGGGAAGTTTAATTTTGATTGTTCCCATTTTAATTATTATGTTTACTTTCTCTTTTACCAAACATTTTATCATAATTCACTTTCACACATTTTCTTTTGTCTTCCTTTTTCTTCTCACTTACCATATTGTTAGATATATATATAGGTATGGTTCGTCCCTGAAATTTGTTGGGGATAAAATCAAGATACTCTTTCTCATTTTTGACAGGTTCAGGTTTTCTCACTTCACTCTCATTCTCACTTCTGAACTTTTTTTTTTTTTTTTTTTTTTTTCCTAATAAATA